CCAATGTTATCATCTTATGTTCCCCTCAAAACCCTACAACTTTTGTCTGAAAAATTTTTCTCTCCCGGGCTTGATTTTCGAGATATTCGACTGGATGGATTAAAATGGTCCACCCTGTATATAAAGATTGTAAGTGCCATTAGCTTAAGATAGAATAACATTTATATAACTATGATTGCAGCAACAATTCCTAGAGATAATTATTACGACTGTAACATCCATATAGCAGCAATCCTCACTAAAGTTGAGGCAAACATAGATCACTTCCAAAGTGCCATGATTCGTATAATCCCTATATCGCCCATCTTTTGTATAGATGGGTAAAAACTTAATATTATTATTCTGTTGTAGCAACCCCAAACTTTTTCTTTGTGGAATAATTATATAAATAGATTAACGCCTGTTTAGCAATAATAACTTCGAAAGACAATAAAATTAATCATATCTTAAAATTGCCATGTTACCTGCGTTGAAGCCTCTTTTCCCTAATGTTTAAAAATTCATATCTTTCAGAAAAATAAAGATATAAACTTCTTTCTGGGTTCATCTTGAAGATGAATTATGTGGCTATTTTCTAAAAAATCGTGATTTTATTTAAAAATGGCCAATTTAATATAGCCGATTAAAACGTCATTTTATTGAAAATTGTTAAAATTTGTTTAATTAAAATGTAATTTGGTATAAATGTTATTGGACAATGTATGGAGTTTAATACGCACCGCGCGCAAAACGTCATTTTTTTTGAAAATTTATTTTTTATCAAAAATTATTAACATTTGTTTAATTAAAATGTAAAGTAGTATAAATGTTATTGGAAAATGTATGGGATTCGATACGCAGCGCGCGCCTTTTATGTACTAGTTCATATAAAATTTGTATTAATTAGTGCGCATTCTGTAATAATTTTGTAACAATTTTTTGTGCATTCTGTAATATAATTACGAAGTTTCTTACGTATCGTGGAAAACATACTTATTTTCATTTGCAACCAAGTTCCAAGTACGGAAATGGAAATGTATGCACATGTACAGGCGCAGATACGGGCCCCCTCTAACAGTTCTCAGATTAGGGTCAACAGACTTACCAGGTGAATGACTATAAGGCAACCGGACTGTATTTTGCATTTAAACAGAGTTTACATATATATTTGTGCCAGATATATTATCGCGGCTGTCGATAATAGAAATAGTCTGTCTGATCATTTGGAGGACAACAGTGCTGAAATACTGCGGTTATATGAAATTATCGTTAAACAAGATAGAATGTGAAAATATATAAATAATTCTCTCTTTCTTCGTGAAACAAATAAATCGTCTATATTCTGCACGCTAACTTTGCTTAAAACAAATTACTGAGAGTTGTCTTTTAAAAAGTTGATATCAGTTAACTAAGATAGATTTATTTTTCTTATAATTCACGGTTATAGAGATTCAGCATTGTTTAAAATTAATTAATAAACATAATAATATTAATAAACATAAGTTTAAAATAATTATTACTACGACGTATAATTTTAAAATAATTAATTATTTTTTACATATATTGTATGTATAAAAAAAATATATATATATTATAATATATACCTATATATATATATAATATATATATATATATATTATAAATATGATAGTAAATTTTAACGTTTCTTAAAGAAAAACACAAATTGTAAGAATGGTACTTCAATTTTATAAATATAAATCAATTTTATAAATATATAAATAAATTTTAATATAAATATTACATACAATAAGAAATTATAAATCGATGTTATATTTATAAAATAAGCATTTCATATTTTTGCATGATAAATTAATGTGTTCTTTTTTGTTTATGGAAGAAACGATGTTTATCAGAAAAGCACTGAAAATGTTTAATTTATAAACTATGGTTACATGTTGTTTACGGAATGCAAATGAATGTACAAAGACACACGTCCCATTTTTCAGTTCCACCTCCATTAACTAAGTCGAGTGACAACACGCATGTAGGTATAGACTTAATGAAATGATTATCATCACCGACACTTCCAGTTGCGGTCTGGCTACCAGAAGGGAATTATTAGCTCGCGATAAAAAGTACGTTGTACGCAAGTAATTTTTAAAAAGTTTAAAAATAATTACGTATTTATATGTAGATTTCCAAAATTGCAGTATTGCAATGTTCATTCGTGTTATTCTAAAATAAAATATGTGCGTAAATGTTTTTAGTTGCAAGCGATATCTGAATTCGTTAAAAATGACTTGTGTACAGTGAAGTGAAAATTAGTGCGCATAATAAATATAGTGTTACATTCTAAATCAGTAGATGCCAGCGGAGATTACGAGTGGACTAATATAAAAAGTATTAAATTTTCTTTGTACATGGATAATCTTTCCAAATACGTTAACATATCTTAACAATAGATATATGTATAATAGATATGTACGTCTGTAAATTAATTTTTAATTTGTATAATATTTATTTAAACACATTACAGTCCGAATTGGGAAAAATAATGCGGAAAATAAAGATAAATATTATATAACTAGCGATACAACTAACTACGAAGAAGGTTATCATTTATCAACGCGTTCGTATCCTGCAGTCAGTTCCAAGGTCACTCATCAGCTAGTGTACTCAGTTGCAGCGTGTAATAGCACTTCCGATAAACATTCTTGTCATTATAGCTATGAATTTATGCCAAACATATGAAGTTTTGCGTCTCACATAAATCTTACGATGTGCAAAACCATTGCATAATAAGTCGTAATAGCTGTCATATAAGAAAGAATTAATTAATAATGCTCGATTTTTTTAGCTTGCTACTAAATTACGATAAATTTCTTCGAATACCAAAAATCTTAAGCCCGTACTCAGAATAAAAACAGAACTTTCAAACTTTTCGGTAAAAAATAACGTATCTAAAAGTATAACCTGAGTTGCTGTTGCAAATACGAAGAAATACAGAAGTGTATCAATGAATGGCGTTTGGTACGCCATTCCGAGCCGTTTTACGCGAGTTGAACTTATATGGGAAATACGACGACAAAGGCAGCCGTAACTGGAGATTGATCGAGCGCACTTTACGGCACGTGGTGCATCGCTCGCGGGCGCGGGCAAAGTTCGTCGGGGTGACAGCGATCGGTGCAATGCGAGGAACTTGAGACTCGGACACGGCGACGATCGGGTGTGGAGCGAACTTACGTACGGGGAACGCGCGGTTTTCAGAGCGACGATCATGAGCTACAACGTGATGCCGCTGAAGAAGCACGCGGAAATCACTTACCGCGTGAAATGCGTCGCGGTGGAAAACGAACGGGTGTTCGGCGATATCTACGTTGCTCAGCAGACGCAGGATCTCCGCGTTTACCGGCCGGAGGGCTATCCCTTTCCGTCGCGATGCAGGAAGCAAAGGCGGAACCTGATACAGCAGACTCTGAACGGGCCGGATTTTATGGAACTGAACAGTAAACGATCGACCGGGAGCGCCGGTGTCGCGTGCTCGCGCTGGCAAAAGCGCTCCAAGTCGATGGGAGATGAGCCGAGCGTGATCGCATTTAATTACAAAAATGTCGAGAATTATGATGCAGCGATCAAAAGGCCTAAGGTAAAAACGTTCGCATTGTTCGCAATGAAACTCGAGATTGATCAGTCTCCATTAAGGGGGGATTTGCCAGTTAATGACATAAAAAATTTTAATCTGAACGAAGTCTCTATTCGTTTCATTTAATAACGTTGACTCGAGATATTAGCATGCAAAGTCGTGAAAAAATATATATGAATTTGCAATAGATCAGTCTTCTTTAGATGAAAGTCTCCGAGTTTATCGATTAATAAAATATTCATTGAGAGAAGCGCACATTTAAAAGATTACACTTACATCGAATACTTCCTTCAATTTGCTCAGTACGATCTCGTTTCACGATATGGACGGTAATATCAGACGCTACGAGTATAAACATTAAATTTAAGACATACTTATGATGAAACTTAATACAGTATAGCTTTACCAAGAAGTAATAGGAGTAACCATCGCGTCGAGATGATATTAGATGAAATAAACAAACTATTTTTCTCCTTCAATTTTTCTTAACTGAATTATGTATCCTTTATATCAGCCGATATTCATTATACTGTAGCTTTATATCAGTTAAAAAAAAAGAAACATTCTAAGCATATTGCTTAATACATGCATTTTAGGTATATCCGCCACCTCTACGCTATTTGCCGCAGCAGAAAGAAATCATGATTACCTCTTTGGTAGATCAACTGTTGCTAGATATTTACGGTATACCGATGTGCGACAGGGGACGCTCGGAAAGCGATTCTACAGCATCATCCTTGAAAGCCCGGCCGCAACATCAATATCTGCAGAAAACTCGTTTGCTTTTGAAAAGTAAGACAATCCGATACGGATAAACGTTGCAGAAAAATAGTCGCGTATGAAAGCTCATATTCCATCTTGACAATTGAAAGCCCCGGTATAAGTAACGATTTTATATATTGATACCAGCAGAGTATAAACAAGGCAGTAGAAATAAATGTTTTTTTTTACGATAAAATTAAGATATATAATTTGCTAAAAGGCGAATCATAAAGATATTACATCGTTTCTGGAATAATTTTAATTTGAAAAATACAGAAAGTGCATAAAGAAAGCATATTTGAACTTTTAAGCTGTAGAGGATTGTTGTTGTTTGCATAGTTTTAGTAAATAATAATTGCTATTTTTTAAAAAGCATTTTTTATAAATAACAACAAAGATTTGTGATTTCTCTTGCGCAATCGTCGAATAAATTGCTTTGATAACATTTAAAAGATTGTTAAATCTTTTCAGCAAGTCTGAAAACTGCAAGTCTTTCAGAACGTTTCTTTATTATGTATATTTCAGAATAATAAGAGCGGCAGTTTTGCCTTTTGAATTTTTATCTGCAACTGTAAAAGCCTTCACTCAACTTTGTAACAGAAAGAAAGAGAGAGAGAAAAAGAGAGCAAAAATTATTACTGCATATTTATCATAAAAAGAAAACGAGATAGCGAACAAACCGGATTTCAATTGAATTAATTATACGCGGACGCGTTTCTCCCGAATAATTAGGTTTCCACAACTAATGTTCCATAAATAATGTCCTTTTCGATAATAATGGAAAAAAACATATCAACTTGTATACGATTATCAATGTCGAATGCAGTAAGAGAGGGAAAAGGGAGCAAAGAGGAGGTTTGTGCGCACATTTCTCTTCTCCGTTCTCCTCCATTATTATTCTCTAGACGTCTAAATCATCGACGTTCGTGCAAATTTCTTTCAAAGATTTCTCGATACCGCACAACCTTTGGCTTTATGAATAATGCAATAGCTCGCAACCGGCTGTCGCGTTATAACGTCCACATTTGATGCGTTCGCAATATGCGCGTCTCTGTGCTTTTTCGCGCTTTCAGGATTTTCCAGGAATTAACCGTGTTTTAACGAGATGAGACAGTAACAGAGGAAAAACAAAGACTTAATGTTTTTTGCAATTGCGCGAAACAAAAACTAACGTAACAAGAGTGTGCTACCAGACATCTCGCTGTTACATTCCGAATCACTGACGTCGGTTTTACGTAGACATTAGTTATAGTTAAATGAAAAGATATACAAAAATAATACTTAATGAAAAGAAAATTGTTGAAGACTAACTTTTTACACAGAAACGGATGAACTGCAGATCCTGCTTATGAATCTACAGGACCACATCATTCACACGGGGAGTCTGCTTATACGTCAGCTGCGCCGAAAGGATTATCTCACTGCCAAATGTGATAAACAGTGCGATATTATCACGGCCTATCTACAAGCACACAGCGCGAAAAGAAGTGAGTAAAATCCTCCGCTTTATATACTTTCACGTTAATGCCTCGTCTTTTGAAATATTTACAGTCAATGTGCAAAGCTTACTGCGAGAGCTTCAATTTTGCAATGCAGCAAATCTTATTTCTATATATAACTAAAAAATCATTTAAATAATTTGTCAATAATGCCAATCTTTAATTTATCTGATTTATTATTACTCAATAATTATTAATACTTCATCAAGAATTAATAACAAAATTGGAAAAGAATTAGCATATAAAATATTTTTGATATAATTATTTTCAATTTTTGTATAATATATATATCTATATTTTAATCATGTCAAAGAGAAAATTATAAGAGAAGCTTACTTTATTACCTTCCTCTGATCTTTTCAGATGATATTTTTTAGCATTTTTTTTAAGCTTGAGAAGATACTCGATAGCATTTAAAAATATATATTTTCTGCGATTAAAAATTTATGGAATAATGTAAATGGTAGTTCTGAGAAAAGAAGCTTATCACCCATGCTGGAAATATCCTATGAAAACTGTTAAAAGATGTAAAAACGTTGCCGTAGAGTGTTTTGTATGCTTCTTGACTACCGTTCCGCTCTGAAAGTACAATTTTTATTATACATTCCGGAAAATATGCTGAGATGTCTCATGAATATTCAATAACGTTTTGCAAATTAGAACGACATAGTGTTGATAATGCGTTTCCGTCGCTTGCATTACTCTACATCAAATTCGCTGTTTAGATATAATAAACGATTAGACATTAAATAATCATAAATTAAAATCGTAAATGCATTTTCATTTAATTGAATTAAAGAAAAAATGCTTATCACAAATTATTCTTTCACTCTAATAATTATATAGTCTAACGATTTCCACGTGAGTTTCACCAGAAATGTAACTTCCGATCTCAAAGAAATTTAGGTTCTGCTTGTGTTAGTTTTCCTCTTCAGAGTAAATACGAAGTTCTCTCTCAGAGCAATTAATTTCAGAATTCTTCAAATATGTGATTCTTTAAGCCTAAATTTTAATTTAGGCTTAAAAGATACGATTAGACATAATATTACTTAGTTTATACTACACAAACTCAGACTGAAAAAATAAATTAAAACATTTATCTATTATACACGCGCGTTTTTATCTGATACTTCTGTCATTAGACCATTTTTTTTCTCTCATTATCATTCTGTCATGTAACGTGATACGTGACAGAAATTCTTGAGCGTTGCGCGGCTCCGTACTATTGTTTTATATTTATATCTCTGCAGCGGCGTTATCTCACATCGTGCAACGAATGTGAGCTAGAAACACGACGTAATGTACCGATCAAGCTGTCACGAGATAGTTCTCGTGAGAACCATCTGAAACGTCGCGAAGAAGTCGCGGCGTCACCAAGTTACCGCGGTCGCGAAGAAAACGAACTCTCGCATGCGGCCTTTGCGGTGATCAATAATTACATTTTGCCGCGACACAAGCCGCTCGGAGCCGAGCCACGCATGCTCCGCGTACCGAGTACCGCGGGCCACGAGTTCCAACGTGGCCGTCATTGATAAAGTTTTGATACTGTTGCGCGTTCGCCGGCCGGATGTAACGCCGCAACTTTCCTCATCCGTCCTCGCGAATTATACCGGCGTTTAACTGGCGCGGGCGCGATGAACTCGGTGAGCCGGAGAACTTTCCGATCGAGAGCACGCGCGAGGAGAGACGCGGCTATATACTTTTGCTGCGAAGGAGCGATTTTGTCGTAGGGTCTTCTATCTCTCCGCGCGAGAAACTTCGCGTCGGCAATTTTTCCGTGGCACGTCCGCCGCCGCGCTACTTCGAACAAATATACATGCGTTTGACGATGTAGAGTGTAGACAACTCAATTTGACGCGATCACCGCAAATTGTTCTACGTATAGAAATGCACTGACTTCTTTCGAGTCGAAAAATTGCATAGTTTGTCGATGAAAAATTTTCTTAAATCCGATTGATCGTAGAGAGACTTATCTTGTCGTAAATTTGACTTTCTCCGTGGTTTCATTCCTGATTCTGGAGAAAGAGAGGAAATAGAGATGTGCTGCAAGTCATACTTTATATTACACTTCACCAATTTGTATGTACGTGACAAATCACGTTTTTAACATATACTATTGAGTTTTCTCAAATCGTTTCTGCCACTACGCCGCGCGCCCGTGATTTATTGATCTCACGTATTTTTGAATGACCTATCATTTTTACGTCGGATAAGACGGATTCGGTATCCCGAGCCAACGCGCCGGTATTACCTATGAACTTTCCGTGCCATTAACCCAGCAACGCTAAAAGTTCAACGACCGTCCTCATACAGAATAAACATGTAATGAACTTTGCGATGCGGAAACTCCCTGATGATCGAAACGATTATTACGAATTGCCTGAATCGTGTTTCCATAATGCAACGCTTTTAACAGTAGATTACTCGCGATTGTGGGCAATTGATCATGGATATTCAAATAAGAAGTTTTATGCTGTTTATGCTTATAATTACTAAAAAATTGTAAGTTAATTAAAAAATTTGTATATATATTAGATCTTGGAAAAATAAAAAGGTTAATGTTATAGTAATATTATAGCAAAATCTATAAAGAGAAAATATGTTATTTTGTTAATCGAGTTACAATTTTTTATTTTTCAAAAAGAAAAATTATTTTTAATTACCATTTTATATTTTAAAATGATAACTAAAAATAATATTTAATTGTAATTCTTTTTGTCTTTTATATCAGAAATGCCCGGTGTGTCTTTTTAAAGAATTATCAATTTAGAATATTATGAAAACAGTCTATCCTTTCATCTCATCAGATATATTTACACGTATACAGCGTATGAAACGCGAGACAATTTCTAACCGATTACTCTACTATGTCATTGTATTGAAGAATTACAGTCTCAAATGTAGAACTGTACTCGTCAAGTGGATACTAAGTACCAATTGCATTTTACTAATAAACAGGAGTTTGACATTCCACGCGGGTCGAATTTGATCAAATTGCATCGAATCAGCGAGTACGCCATTCGTCAATAGTGACATATTGTCGATTCGCACACATCACATTCAGTATTATCAGTCATGAAACAGACAGCATATGGTACAGACAGCAAATATAGAACATTATTTACAGTAATTCAAAATACGAACATCACATTCACACGACGTGAAGGAATTTATTATTAATACAAAATATTGATGTTTCAATCAAAATGTGCACTCAAGTATTTTCGGTTGCTTATTTGCATTTTATCTGGACAACTACGTTAGGCAAATGTGTATGTTTCTAGCTATAATTAAGCGATTCAGCAGATACACATATATCTGCCAGAGCTTCGATTTCTGGTAACGGTGTTAACTATTTCAAGTGACCCACAAAGCGGTAAAATCAATAACGATGTCAATCCTAAATTTGTAAATGTGCTCGCCAAGAAATTGTTTTCCTCACAATAATCTATTATTCCGAGAATTATAAATACAGGAAACACACGAGTTAATATAAATTATACAAATTCTACGTAGAAACACACAAATTCTTTTAGAATAACTGTTGTGCCCGATTTTTTATCGATTTTATAATAATAATTATCTTTGTCATATTGAGATTATGTTCCCCAATTTATTTCACGCTTTCAATTGCCACACGCAGAGCGTGTTACATTTTGCAATATGTAGTACAGATGTGTACATTCTAACGAGATTTCTATAATAACATAAAACCTTCAAGATTTTATTCTCATGTTCGCTTGATATAATAATCCCTTCTCGTACGAGGTTACACATTAGATAAAGTCGCGTCACGCTGCTCCACTTAATCGAGGCCTGTAGCCATTAATCTTCTCACGAATGAACTATTCAGCGTAATAAAAATTTAATAGCCCGTGGTCCGCCATATCATATGTCGATATTAACGTTAAGCTGTCGAAGATTAATTTTTTTTTGCTTTGAGTGAGTCTCTTTAACTGAGCTTTCAGTAGATCAGGCAATCTAACTGTCCAGATTGTTATTAGCACTGTCTTTAATGTATAACCCGTAATACATATATAGACGTTTATAATTTATTGTTTTTAATTATCGATTACTGATAATACCACAAAAAAAAAATAAATTATTTACAAGAAGCATATATAATTATAAACGTTGATAAATAAAAATATTATACGTAAATATTTTGCAAACTCCTACGTACGCTTGAATCGTTCCACTTGACTTAATCAGATTTTATATTCTGATATTTAAACGTCATACGTTAATCCGAAGACTTGTATAATTTTCATGTATAATGCACGTGCAGGGATGGCTGTGTAATCTCACGTAAATACGAAAAAATTTAAACTGGAATTCTACAATATTAAAAGTTCGTTTCATAGTCGTTTCACATTCATTAGAACGAATTAAACGTCAAAGTTTGCAGAATATATCCGAGAATTCAGCCGAAATGTAGCGCGGCAATTTCGAGCATATTCTTTCTAAAACGATCAAATACACCAGGGGGTGAAACGATGCAAAGTGGGAAACCGCGTGCCGAGCGCATGCGTTGTGACGGGAGTGGCAGCACGTAGAATCGCGCCACGGCCGCCACACGGAGGGTTGAAAACGACGGCTCGTGGAGGAACGACAGTAGTGCCGACTGCAGGATTCCACGAGGCGGCAGCCGCCCCTCGTGGCGATCCCCTCGCCCCCGTCGTCGTCGTTACGTTTGCGAGGCTTTGCGCGCGCGCAAACTACCCTATCCATTATCGTTCAGCTGACTCGGCGCACTCGTCGTACGAAGACGCTCCTCCAGGTGCTTCGGACAGCTGTCGGAGTGTCGTCGCGACGCCGACGCCGCGAAATTTCCGGGCAATCGAGAAAGAGAGAGGGAGAGAGAGAGCGGTGTCGAGAGGAGAGTGCGATTTCCTCCGCCTACACCAAGTGCGCGTTCGCGTTTCCGGGGTAGTTTTTCGCCAAACTCGTGTCCGCCGCACGTCGACGAGCATGAACATGCGTGTCGAGGTCGTTCGCTCGCGGTGCGTCCGTGCTTCACACAGTACGTGCACCGATGTGCATTGATGTGTCGCGCTGCACAGTCAACGGCGACGGTAACGATTGCCCGATAGCGCGCTGTCGAGTCTCGTGATAAAGATGGTACGATCTGATGACACGCCGATCTCGTTCCACCGAAGTGTCAAAGTACTGCGTTTGTTTAATACGATCCCTCGCGAGTAAGTATATGAGTTTCGGCTATCGACGACGGTCCAAATTGTGATTGGATATACACCGTGAACGGTGGTGGAGTGCACGCTTAAATCTCAGTTGCTTCACGAATGCGTGCGTTTAATGGGAAAAAATGTGCGTCGTATATTGGGTCCATTTTCTTTCGTATACACGACGGTTAGCGTGATTTCTAGAATCTGTATTGAGAATAAGGGAGAAATGAAAGATGGCAAAAAGGAATGAAGTAGCGTAGCTAAAAAACTGAACAGATCGCATAATATATTTTAAATTAATTAAATTAAATCTTATTCAGCAAGTAAACATTAATTTCGTTTTACATTCTTTTATAAAACATTTTAAAAAATGCAGAAAACGCTATAATAGCTTGTTTTAGTCTTTATCTTTCATCTAATATCTGTAAATCATCTTTTCCCGCAATGAAAGTGTATGTGAGTGTACGTGTGCGTTACCCAATTAAAATTAGCATGCCGGTTTATTTCATTTAAAAGCATACCTATCGATTTTCCTTCAGTTTCCAATTTGCTTCATATAGTTTTGTAAAAGTGTTGGATTCTTATTTGATATAAAGCATTCGTGAGATATAAATTGATTGGCATGAATCCTTTTTCTCGTTGAGAAAATATCGAGAAATTGAAATTATCGAAAGTGGTCAATCAACGTGCGTAATATTTTCGGACTTCCGAAGGCAAATTATGATCAGATCGTAAAAAAGTTCCTCAAGATTCGCCGCTCGCGTTATCTTTGATTGATGATAACTTTTTAGAACTTTAAAAAGAATAATTAGTATAATATCATTATAATAATTCAATTTGCATTCATACTCGGCTTTAAGACGCTAAAGATTTTATTTTAGATTTAATTGCTGGACTTATCGGTTTAACATCCATTTTTAAGCCACATTTAAGCGGAGCCGGAAGCCACAAACGTGTAAAATCGCAGTCACGATAACCGTGACTGATTTAAGGCATCTAAGCTCTTCCCACTCTCTCGTTTATATTGCACGCACAAGCGGATCGTTCTTGTCGAGGAGTAAAATCGCAAGTCTGATAAGCAGCCAAAATCTCCCTTAATTCATCTCGCAAATTCTTGCTATTTTCAAATTAATTCCAGTCTCTCACGATATCTCTGATAATAGCTACGACGCAGTCTAACAATCTGACTTAATTAAAAAGGAATGATTGCGCAAATGGCATAAATACAACGGTAAACGGAAAAACGATAAGTTAAGTGCTGCATGCTTCTTCTTAATTGCATTGTAACCAGTCGCGACCAGTCGCGATCGGATTAACTGCTCGAGCATTTTATCGGTTTCATCAGCCGCCGGTGAAGTAAAAATCGATTTTGTTATCAGCTTGGCCACTCTCTTATCAGTGGTTATCTGCATTTCACCGCGAACGGTAGAAGGGTAGAACGAGGTTCTTTTTTGTATTACGTGGACTAACGAAAACGTTAATTGGCGCGTGTTAATTATTGTTATACCCTAATACAATGCAATCGACAAATAGTACTCGATGCCACAAATAATGAGATCCTACGAGGTGCAATCTTTCACAAACTATATAGAGATTTACGTGTACATTACACGTGTATTACAGTGCGTGGGTATCTACATTGTGATGCTTGTAACAGGTGGTACAGCTATACATACGGCACGGAAAGAACGAAGAGGAATGTTTTGCTGGATTTCTAGTGAATCGTATGTTACTCGATGGAAGTTGAAAAACACGCACTCTCATGCTTAATTAATCTTACGTATTTGACATAATGCACTTTATAGCGTTTTCGCATTATCATCAAATCACATTTTATATCAATGACGAATGGCAACGCTCTCAATAGTAAAATAATAAAATAATTGAAGAAATATACATTAATAATCACGTTAACGTCAATAAAATTTGCTTTCTCTAAATACAATCATGATAGTTTCGCACATCAGTTAAGGTGTAAAGCTTAGAACGTTAAGTCAACGGGTCGATCGGCTTTTGCAGAGTTACAGTAAAAACATCGTGTATTCGAGAGGAACATCGCGATCCATCGCGAATAAAAAGGGTAACGCGAGAATAAACCGAGGAACGGCCGATCATGAATCACGAGAACGGTTGAGAGCGGCGTACCGCGCGACATATAATAAGAGACGTGAGAGATGAAAGCGATGAAGAAGAGAGAGTGGCGCTTCTAATTGGAGGATGAACGGATTTTTCAACTCCCTCAAAAACCTCGCGTCCGGTGCTACCGGCTCTGCCCCGAGATACGAAGAGCTGGAAGGTGAAAAGCGACAGTTTCCGTAAATCTATCACGCATGCTAATGTCTCTCCTCTCGCGTTGCACGCGCACAAGCGTAATCGACCTTGCGGAGCCACGTACATGCACACGTGCAGACTTACGCGTGTTGGAAGCTAAATGCTCGTAAATTAAATTCTGTTAAATACTGCTGCGAGGCAGCGTGGCATAACTACGGCGCATCTAAGTGTTACAACGTTAACTTAATGCAAGCTAGAAGTATCATATAGCTCAGACATGCTTTGTTTGCAGCCACTGAAGACGACGTAGTTAAGCTATTTTATTTCAAAGTATAAAATACAAAGTAATAAGGTAATTAAATGAACGTACACTATATGTAGCCGTTGCGGAAGTCTAAGGGAAGAACTTCATGCAAGAGTTTGATAAAACGTGAGAAGATAATAATGTCACGTTTCGCATAAACTTTTGTCATTAATACACTTAATTAAAATGCAAAGTTGTAAAATTAAAGCCATACCTTCATTAGCAATTGTTCAACCGTTGATATTATTTCTCCAAATTAATGCAAAATTAAGATTTCGCATGCAAGTATAGAATCGAGCAAATACGCTAATTCCAGATTTTCAAATTGAACTATATAGCGAATGCGTTTATCGTGATTTCCAAACGAGATACAATTTAAAGTTAGAGTGCTGTACGTTTGCCAATACCGCAATATCCATAAAATCTAATGCATGGCACGTTTAATTTGTGGCTAATTTGATGAGACTTGCACTATTCGTAATAAAAAGTATAGCATTGTGACTTTACGTTCTTATGTGTAATTAAAACATTTTAAATATTATTAAAATCGGCGTATATTAAATTAGTCTTGCTGCAAAAATATCGAGAGGAATTTTAATACTTTAATGTAGAAAAGCGCCTGTTTATTTTACTGCAATAACGTATAGCAATATTTTGTCTGCTTTCGGGGTCCACCAAATTCCCAGAAAAATATAAATAACAATAACAAGTAAACAATATAAAATGCAATGCACATGTGGCAATTCTAATGAAATACATTCGGCACAACGGCAACAACAATACAAGACGAAATACAAATTGTTATAAAGGCAGAAATAATATCGATTTCACACATCGGCGCGTGCAGTGGCTGGCGTGGTTTATTCAGCCATTAATAGAATCGTGATCAAGCTGTACTCGTTCACTCGTAGATACTGCGAGATGACAATGTTGCCACCGCACCGGATTCGTTCGCATGGAAATTGAATATTTTTCAATGCACGCTTCATTAACAGTATTAGCACGTGCGGCATAAACGCGTGGATAACAGCGTTATTTACTATCTTAAGAATTTCTGCGGGATTATTTCTACTCAAACTGGCAATTCTTCAGCCGAGGTTGTCATAGAAACGATCATGTCACCCTTCCACTAAATGTTAAAGGCGATCGAGCCCTGCTTCACTTCGCGTCCCTCGCGACTTTCTCAGTCACTCGTGTCGAATCGAACAGAATGGTTATACACCGCAACACGATTCAAATAAAAAATTCAAATTGTCAATTCGAATCGAACGCTAGAGCATTCACGCATTTATGTCAATCAAGATTTCTTGATGGTTCGATTTAAGCAAATATTTATTTTTATTCGCGTTACAAGACGATGTGTTTTTTTCTGTGAATTATATTGTAGCTGACGTAACGGTGCAAAAGAACTGCAGTTTATTGAAATACTGTCTTGTTAGCTAAGTGTGTGGGTGTATTTCCGAGAGCAGATTATCTTGTAGTAAAGTGTTTTATGCATTTCTCTCTCTAAATTTCAGTCGAAGATACAAAAATGAGGTTCAGTTTGACTCCGCAACCGGGGGAAAGTGGTTTTATACAATGGTTGGACGCGATGAAAATGGTTGCCAAATTACAAGGAGGGATACCACCGGAATTTCGAAAAAGAGTGAGTGCCTCTTACGATTTACTTTCAAATAATGAATTATTCACAAAAGTACACAGTCATGAAAAATATAAAAGATTCAAAGAATTCATTTTTGTAAGTGTATACAAGGGTACGAACGAAATTGATATTCTTCTACAGTTGTGGTTAACGTTGGCGGAACGTCATCTGGAACAACGCGGCGTAGACTGGAAGCAGGCCGAGAAGGTCTGTTTCAACGAGTGGAGTAATCCTGACGACGAAGAACTCGGCATACAAATCGTAAAAGTAAGTGTCTGCAATATTGTTCAGCGCCAGCGTTCTTCGCGTAATAAACTTCGACGTAAAATTCTTACCCTTGTCATAATATATGAAAAAAAAATCTTTTTTTCCTAAAATATTTTAACAAGATATTTTAACATTGGTTATTACAACAATAAATAACATTTTTACCTTCTAAGCTTTTTCATATAAAAAAAACATATTAAAAAAAAAATTTTAACAAAACATTTTAACGTTGATTATTATAACAGTAAATAAAATTTTTATCTTCCATGTTAATTAATATAATTTTTCAATAAATAAAAGAATTCGTCAAATGAAACTCGAAGTTATACAAATGCCCTGGAAGCCCCAGTAAACAATATATGCCTCTCTTATACACTTTGATGATACGCCTGATGATGTCGCCTGCGCGACACGCTCAGTTTGTCAATCTATCTCCTAAAATGAAGGGCGACCCGGTTAATTCTGCGGGACCGTTTCTGGATGCGCGGCTCCGAGAAGAGCATTTAGAGAGACGGCGGTACATTTATTTCGACGTGCCTTATAAAACTCTTGGCACGAAAAAGCATCGGGTTACAAACGTAACTCCGTAGTACATAAATGTTTCAACTGATTAAAAGAAATAAGCTGAGGAAAGTAAAAATAGGAGCCTAACGTCTGTTACGTAATACGGATTAATGCGAGCGCGGTGCATAATTAGAACAAGTTGCCCGTCTAAAAATACCTGCAATCTAATACGCGATCCATTTGATCGCGTCAAGTTATATCCACTTTACATAGATTTATAGACCGATGATCCTGATTATTATTAATTACGCCCAATTACCCTCGGATCGTTTATCACTATAACGACAAATGACTAACAATCACAAGGTTGCTTTTGTAATTAATGTTCGCCTATGCGTAGCTTACGTTTCAAAGCTTTTCCAGCCGAGATTGACGTTTACCGCTTTTTGATCCTTGTTCAATCGTTTAGCCTCATCAAATGGATGGTATTAATTATCGAGCACTTCATTCGCGCGAACATATAATATGAAATTTAATGGGAAACTTAAAATAAACAATGAAAAATTAAGCGCGCTGAAATTGAACCTTGTTCAATCGTTTGCTCTTATTAAAACGAATCATCTGATACATTAATTATCTGTTCATTCGCGAACACGCACATTACGGAAATTTAACAGGAAACCTTGAGATAAATTATGAAAAATTCAGCTGAAATTACGCCGGTCTCCGTAATTACGCTGCTGATTCGACAGCAGCGGGTCGGAAGTTACTGGAGGCCAATTTTCTGGAGTTAATTCAGCGACGTAAAAGTCGTTACAATTCGCAGGACCTGCACAGGACAGGCTGCAGCCTGTTCTGCGGTGCTGCTGGCCGGGACAATCAGGCGGTGCTTCGTCGAGTATTACTCGGTTTCGCTCGCTGGAACAAGTCCGTGGGCTACTGCCAGGGCCTGAATGTTCTGGCCGCCCTCGTCTTGCAAGTAATGGACCGCGCGGAGTCCTCGGCTGTGAAGGTGATGATATACTTAATAGAGGGTGTACTACCGGAGGGCTACTTCGCCGATAATCTGCGGGGCCTCTCCGTGGACATGGCGGTGTTTCGGGATCTTTTGCGTTCGAGGCTCCCGAAATTGTCCAAGCACCTCGAGGCGCTCCAGACCGACGCGAAGGATAAAGCGACGGGTGAGTCGGGTTGATAAAAATAAAAATAAAACTCGAGCGGAAGAGCGTAAGAAATACAGAGACGCATGGCGGTGAGATATTACGTTGGCGCGGAGATGGAAATTGAGATGTATATTATACTTTCGCTGAACGAATATCTTGTGTCGACGTATTTATATAACATAATTTTATCTTCTTAAAAAGTAGCGCTTGCACTTAATGTTGCAACAGTAGGCATTCAATTCTTTCGTGTAAATATCTTCAAGATTTTCAAAAACATATTTAAATCAAAATAATTAAAAAATCAATACTGTGGATTTTGTTTTGCAGAAATATCATTTACATAAAACATTTATGTTTAAAAAGATTTTTTTAGATTGAATAATAGTTGATAAGTGAAAGATATGGCTTACTGCAGTTACGATAATCTTTAAACAATTTAATTTAATTCGATTCCATTGTTCTCACTTTTCCTGATTGTAGATTGTTATGGTAGTGTAACGTTGTTTTTCAGGAAGTAGCTACGAACCGCCGCTCACGAATGTGTTCACCATGCAATGGTTCCTTACACTTTTCTGCCACTGCTTACCGCAGGAAGCGGTGCTCCGTGTCTGGGATCTGATATTTCTCGAAGGTGACGAAGTACTCCTTAGAACGGCACTCGCTATCTGGGAAGGCCTCTCAGAGTGAGTTTTCAATTTCAATTAAACTTATTAAAATTACGTAACGAAATTGTAAGTCTGTTATATTTCTTTGATGATTATTTGCAACAAGTGAAGTAACTAATTGTTTCTACAGTCGCATAATGACCGTTACATCGGCGGACGAGTTCTACAGCATAATGGGAGTCCTCACGAGAGAAATGCTAGAATTCACCGATACAAACAATCTCATAAAGGTTGAGTACAATCGTTTATACAGAGTTTAGTAATGATAATGCAATCCTAGGCGGGAGATTTTTTCTGCTTTTACGATTATAATATTATCCATTACCAATCGTTACACGCGTTTGACATTGCAAATAACACAATTTATTTGTGAATCATTTTGACAGAACATTGTTAGTATGGGACCCTTACATGGTGTGACAAGTTTGAGAGAGAAGCATCGATATAATATCACCCCGTGGGCGCGCAAGCTGAGTGACGACGATGACAGCGAAACGGAAGAGGATGAGAGATTGGCTGTAGCGGCTGCCATGTTCAGTATGGCTCAACGTATAAAAAAAGGTAAATGTCATTTTTTTTAAATGAATCCCATGTGTTTTAACAATATTAAAATTTAAAAAACCACTCTACAAGCGACCAATTTTACGTTAACGTTTTAGATAAAGATATAAATGGCATAATATTGCTTTAAAATCAAACTCAATTTCGAATATCAATATATATTTTAACGTATAATATAATAATATAACATACATTATTTTTTACGATCGTATTAAAAGTAAATTTCTTGGACAATTTGACGAATATTTAAGATATTTTTACTTTGAAAGACAGCACGTGACTTAAACCTCTGATGCTTTGCATTATGAAGAATAGATACAATTATTTAAAATTGTTGCAGAATCTGTTTTGCGAAAAAAATCCGAAAGTTTTCGAAAATATCACAATGTCCAATATCTTTCGTTAAAAGAAATGATCGATTTCAGATCGCATACCTTCGACAATAGGAGCGTTACAAGCGATGGCACCCAGTAGCGATCGAGAACGCCTTGCTTTAGATATTAGTACACTGAAGCAGCAATATGCAAAACTGCGGGAACGGCAACGGCAAGCGCATATAATACTTTCTGGTAATGACAAGTGAATATGACAAGCGTTCTACAATTACAGTCTAAAAATTAAAGATCAAATGCAATTTTTTCTAGAATTTATATTCATAGATTTCAACATTTTTTAAATCACATTTTATATAGAATATTTTAATCGATAATACAAACGAATCGTATAAAAAAAAATATATTGGATTAAATGAGTAAGGATCAAACCGCTATTAAAATAAATTGATTTTAAATGTAGTCTATATTAAATATAGGCTACTTTATAACGAATATGCATGCATATTATATTGCAATAAAGGTTCCGTAACAACCTCTCTACCGTCAACATTGTTTAAAATTATTAGGAGGTTACCGCGTAAAATTGGAATTGTATAAAAATTGGATTACACGTTCCTCGCGTTGTATCTTTACGATCGAAAAACGTGCGTAGGTTCGATGATACATGTTATAAAAGCTTTACGAGCAGCAATACGTTAGCGGTAATACTTATCATCTTCTGATGCTTGCCACCGTAAGCTAGCTCATTTTATATTCATGAATGAAGCTAAACTCACGTATGTTTGTGTTTACGGTCGGACACTATCGTCGTATTTCGATCCGAGCGAAAATACATAAGCGATAACAACGCCGCGACCTTTCGAGATATTATGACCTATCACGTAAAAATCTCAAGTTGCAACTCTGCGTGACATGCTTCAATTTGATATAGCTGCCTCATACGTCCTCTTGATAGGTAAATGAAATTTCTATCATCAATAACGCTTAATCGGTATGCGCTGATAAGCTCGAAATCGTAGGTGACATTTTCGTACGAAATGAAACAAAACTTTCCAAAACTAAATTTGGAGATCTATGTCAATACATAAAAATAAAAATTATGTAAATCAACAGTACTATAACTTGTTATTTTTAACGTTAATTTTAACGATAAACTGTTAAATATTAGAATTATATTTAAATATATTAATAATTAGAATTATATTTTGTAATAATATAAATGTTTTGTGAAAATATGAAATAGAAAGATCTAAGTCTTCTATTATACGTAAGAATAACGTAAAAATAACTTTTTATAAACCAATGTTTTTAAAACACTATAGCAAAAATTTCATTTTACGTAATGGAGACACAAAATATTTTTATCAATATTTGTAGTTGTCGAAAATTGCGTATGTGTAGGGTACAGCGGGGTAATTTAAATAGTGGGGCTATTTGGATAACAGTAAGCATTTGCAAGAATTTCGGAAAAATAAGAGATTTTTTTTTAGATATATTTCATTAGATCAGACATTGATCTAACGAAATGTATGTTAAAAACACTTATTTTTCTGAAATTCTTGCAAATGCTTACTGTTATTCAAATTACCCAACTATTCAAATTACCCCATTGTACCCTATGTATGTGTGTACGTATGTGTGTTAGGGCTATTTCTCAATTCACTTTCTCTAATAGTAAAATAAGCACTATTCTAACCGATTCTTATATTCTACAGCCGCGTGTGCGCGACAGACCATGGTACCTACGCCCACTTCCACAGCCATGAATCATCTGTTAGTGGGTAAAAATGCACTTGTAAGTGTAAAGAATCGACCATTAAGTTTGCCGTCTGCCACTGCCACATCGAAATTACGGCCGGCAGCCCTTCACAGCCCAAAAAGTCGTAGGGACAGACAAGGTGTTACGCTTCACTGGAAAGACGCAAAAAGGCCGAAACAAAGGGCTGGCGACGCTGGTGGTGAGTGCATTTAATCGTTAGACAAAAATAATTCAATAAAGAGCAGCCTTTACAAATATACGTTCAAAAATATATTGAGAAAATATTTAAAAATATTTTAATAACGGGAATGATATATGGATAAATATGTGAACTATTTTTTGAATATGTAGAAAAGACATTTAAAATATGAGATATGTAATGTACAAAATAGTGCGATATAAGTAACAATAAATAGGTAAATAACCATTAAAATAATTTTTCAAAAATATACTAAAAATATGTTTTATGCATATACATATATATATATATATATATATATATATATATATGTGTGTAAAATTATAAACGTAATATAGTATTAATAATTAATAGCGAAAATGCGTTATAATTAAATTGGAGATTTTTCGTACATATGTATTTTTATACATTTTATACATTTCATACTATTTCTAAAGTCCATTAAAATTTATATGAAGATAAAATTGCATATGTTATAAAATCAATATTAAAAACTTTGTGTCGAACACAACGGCATCGCCATTGACCCGCTCATGGCAAGTATACCAGCAGAGAATAAGATGGACCTTCCATCTGATGGTAAGATTCGCTATGTATGGTAACGCTTATCAATTGCTGAACCTCCGGAGAATGGGTACAAAGAACCACCTTGCTTCACGTTCGATATCAGCGAGTACGCGTATTGACGCAGGTGTGGCAGATAGGGTCAACATCCGGTTCTGTACCTTCTCGAGCCAAGTCGTCATTCTATCGCGCGCGCGAATAATTTCCCCTCCGATTCAACTTTAATACACAAGTCACAGTAGATATAATATTTTTAAAATATCCAACTATCGATCAGCGATTATCATCTGTGATGTCAATTGTTATCTTTGTCTCTCAGATTGATCGCGCTTTCAACAACTGTGTAAGCTAATTTATTGACCTTTTCTATTTTACGTTACAGATGCCGACGCCTTCGGTACGTTTTTACAGTCGCCTCCGGAAACGTCCTCTGTAACGTCGCCCGGCCGCGGTACCGCTGACAGTGACAGTGACAGCACATCGACGGAGCTGTGCGACGAGCCGGATCGTCTGAGCGACGTCGATAGCGAGGAACTTACGTCAGCGTCCGACTCCTACGTCATGGCGACGGACGATGAGAAGCATGCTTACGAGGGTTCGTCGACCTCGGCGAGTACACCTGCGCGCACGTACATCAAGACCGAGCCGATGATGATAGTCGAGGGGCCGCCGCAGACGGATACGATTTTCGGAATCGAGCGCGACAACAAGTCTCCGTCCCTGTCCGAGATTTCGTTCGCCAAGATCACCGATCAAATACGGAGGCTCTCGGCGGAAGATGACAATAATACGACGACAGTCTCTCAAATACCGAGCGCGCGCGACAATGACGAGCGGTCGATGTGCGATTATCCGGTCGAGAGATCGCAGACGAGAGATCGAACTACGGAATCGAAGTTGCAGGATTACACGTCGTGCGAAGACGCGCCAAGATCGTCGAAGACTGTGAACAGCTACGATTATTTAAGCCTTAAATCTAATCTCGTCGAGAGGACGGATGATATCCTGGCGCATAGAACGGATCGATTGAGAGATATAGGGGAGAAAAAAGAAATCATTCGAGCTAGCGGTAACGATAGTACAGGCCTTAAGACGGACGTAATGGAAACCACTACGAATATACTACGGGATAGTTTCAGAGAACAAACGAGTATCACTTTAGATAAGACTTACGATAAATTTAGCACGCTTTTAGAGACGAACGACAAGCCTTTCGAATCCTCCTTAAGATATTCCAGCAAGGTTCATTTGAATTCAAAAGACGATGATGATTCGAACGAAACGGATCTCGCGAGTAGCAGAACGACTCTCGAATCCTCCTTAAGATATTCCAGCAAGATTCATTTGGATTCAAAAGACGATGATGATTCAAACGAAACGGATCTCGCGAGTAGCAGAGCGACTCTGGATGTCGCAACAGAGTCGCGATCTTTTTATTCCAAGAGATACGTTGTAGGCCACCTTCCAATTTCCCCGGTGACAATGGATGACAAATTGACGAAACTGTCGCACGATATATATAACGTCGCGACGAATCCGGAAACGACGAGTCCTGAAAGGACTTTAAAGAGAGACACTTTCAGCGACAGGCAACCCGTGATGCGAACGAAGTCGTATTCCAGTTTTAAAAAAAGCCCGAAATCTCCGGAGAGCACGAAGTCGTTCAGCTCGGGAGAGACGATGGGTCCCGATTCGAAGCCCTCCAGTCTGACAGTGAGTCCGAGGACGCCGGTCAGAACGGACTCCCGTGACTTCACAATGGACAAATCGGCTTGCTCGTCCATCAGCTCGGATTCCAAAACTCTCGTTCTCCATTCCGTGGGCTCGGACACCGTGCTCGACGACTCGCGGTCGATCACGAAGAAGACGTCGTATGAGAGATCGAACCCGTCGACCCCGATCAGCGCGGACTCTTTGAGAAATAAGTCCGAAACGAGCCCGAAATTGGTGATCAGCAGCTCCAGCGATTCGTGCAGCCCGGGCAAAGTTAAGTCTTCCGAGAGGTCGTTCAGTTCCGATCTGCAATCGCCCGTAAGTGCCAACTCCATAAGATATACCTCGAACTACGGGAAACGAAACCACGACAACGTGTCGGATTCGCCGATCGACCTGAGCGCCGCGACCTCGCCGTTTTATCCTATCGCGAATCCTAATCAGAAGACACCCTCGCCGTATAACGGTGTAGGCAAACAGAGATGCAGCGCAGACAGCGCCGAAACTTCGCCCGATCCGAAATCGATCGGCTCGAAGGACTCGACCAAGTACTCGGGGGGGTATCAGACGAAACTCGATCCCTCGGCAAAGTCGATCGAGAGTAAGGAAAACGAGGGAATCTCCGAGAGAAGCGATTTGTATGTTAGACCGCAATTCGCGTTGAATACAGAACTGAAGGTGAGTTATACGCAGAAGAGCAAAGCTGATTTGAGCTCTTACGAATCGATCGGCGGTGAATCCTATCGGAGGAGCGGAGACTTTGCTGATGACAATGCGGACGATCCGCTCTCTGAAAAGGACGTGGTGCCTCAATTGCCGCACGAGAAGCTCGACAAGCATTATCTGAATTACAATTATAGACGTAGAGACCGATCGAGATTGACTGAGAGGAGTTCCAGCAGTCTTGAGAAAAGATGCACCGATTTAAAATCCTCGGTTTCGACGGATGAATTTAGCATGGCAAAGAAGAGATGCAGCGATATTCTCGAGGACATGAAGCACCTGGAAGCGAAGGCTCTCATCGATGGCTCGCCCGAGACTAGCATGCTAACGAAAAAGTCGAGCGATATCTGGGAAGACATGAAAAACTTGGAGGCAAGACGACAGGATACCTTCAGCAATTCGGCGAGCGGCTTCTCGAAGCGGCGATTAGAGATCCCAGACATAAACATAACGAGCGAGAATAGGAAATCTTACGTAGTGTATCCTAAGATCAACATCGATGAGAACAGCGACAGTATATTGAAGAGTATAGCTTGCAATAAAGATAATATCGATACAGACGACGGTAGGGAATCCAAGGTGGGCGTATGGACGAAAGTGAAGCCACGAAAGAAAGGCGACAACGGGCGCAGGAGTAGCGACCGGGCGTTAAAAATTATACAGGAAAATTCGGCCATATTGCACAAGATTCTAGCGTGCCAGGCGAAGAAACGTCTGCCGGATCTGGAGGAAATATCCAAGGAGATCACCATCAGTCCGATAAACGAGGAAATTTCCAAGATTTTCAGCCCGATTCTCGAGAAAATGGGTCTGAACGAGCACGAGATAAATGAGGAATTGGCGCGAATAAATTTCAAGGACTTCGATAATATGACCGCTACCAGCGTTTCGGAATTCGACGCGAAGATCAATGAAGAATTAACGAAACTGTCTCTCATCGACGACACGGAGCAAATTGATCATTTAGACGTGGACGAGATCATAGCGAACGAATATCTGGACACTCGGGAGGCGCTCATAGATCACAAGATAAACGAGGAACTCTCCAAGCTGCTGGCGAACTATGAGGAGGACTCGCCACCGAGTATAATTAATGTGGAAAAAGGCTCGTCGAGTCAGAACATAAGCGATACGGACGGTCTCGATCTTACCAGCATTTCAACGAACGTATTTTCCTACAAATCCTCCAACGATTCCATCGAGATCAGAAACGACTTGGAAGCTGCGCACGATGTCGCAATTCAACCGGAAAAGTTTCCGTTCGCGACGTTGAAATACGAGCAGAGCATGTCGCCCAAGAGCGACATAGACATCTACAGAGAGCTACAGAGGCTCGACAAAATCTCGTACGCGCAAATGCTGTCGGACACGAATCTAGAAATACCGCCGAAACGACTGTCCCCCATTACGTACATTTCAGACGCTTCCACTTATCCGGAAGCTCCCACCGTGACGAGGTACGTGCCGAAGACGAGCCAATTCGATATCACGCCGTTGAAGAGTATCTACGAGCCTTACAAGAGCTACGACATTCCGGAGAGGCTGTCCCCACGGGAGAGTCCTTACGCTGCTTACGACAAACCGAGCGAGCTCACGTTTGAGTACACGGAACCAAAATCGAGGATCTCTATCGATCCCTACGACCTGCATTTGAAAAGTCCGATATTGTCGAAAGAATCCTTGGAGTTTCGCGTGAAGTACGACGAGGAATTGCCGAGGCCGATCAGCGGCGAATACGCGACCGTTCAGGACGGCAGATCGGCGGTTTCCTTGAACACGGGAAGTCCTTACTACGGCAAGGATAACAGCGAAGCAATTACGCCGACGAAATATATCAGCAGCGAAGAGAAGTGCTTGGACTATTGCAGCGACGCGGATCTTCAGCATCACAAGTACAGTACTTTGTCACCGCAGGACTATTCTCACGTCAGAAGTATCGATTACGACAAGCCCTTGAGCACGTTGTCACACGTGATGGTGGAACCCGAGACGGATATCGGTTCGTATCTATCGACAAGGCATCGCGACTACAGCGCGCTGTCGCCCAGTCGTCAATACAGAGATGAGTACTTCTCCTCCAGTCCGAATCATTACACTCCGAAGCTCTCCCCAATTCTGACGGAAGAAACGCGAAAGCCTGCCGTCTCGCATCCAGAATCGCCGGGCAAAATAACCGTCGAGTACGGAGATTTGATCGACAAAGGGTCGAACTGTTATAAGAAATCGACGCTGAGCCTCGGTAACATGGAGAACACGAACAAAGACGACGAAAACGTTGACACCACTCCGAGTCCGAAGGCGCACTTCAGTCCTTTCCCCGTTAGAAATAATACTAGGAAGCCCAAAGAACTGACGCTGAAGCTGGGTCTGTACTCGTCGAAGAACTCTGACTTCGGCCAAATGAAGAAATCATAGTGCTCAGTAAATTGTCGAAGCGATGAAGCTTTTGACCTACACGGAAGTTCGCACGTAAGCTGGTTCACCGTTACAAAAAAAGATACCTATGTTCGTTAGTCAATCGTTTCGATAGATATTTATATTTTACGCGCAATAAGGCGCGTAATTCGATGCGTTTTAAAGAGTTCCCGTGTATTATCGATTTTCCGAATTTAACAAAGTGGGCCTAAATTGTCGCCTAAGCATTTCTTAAATCGTTAAACGCTCGACACTATTAGACAAATTGTACGACGTAAGCTTAATTAGTAATAAACGTGGATGTAGCTTTTAAGATAATAACTAGAAATAACGTGTAAGTTTTTTCAATGCTCGGCCAGATAATTGTAAACTATGAGTAAACTCTTTCCTTTAAATGGCACGCAAATTCGTTTTGACGTGAGATACAAACGCTGCAGAAATAACACAAAAATAAATATACAGAGAGGGGGAGCCGCGTTATATCGTAATCGCGATAAGCGCGAAATAATATCTCCATGAACGCAATTAAATTTGGGAATATTGCTGAAATAATACGTCGTGCGTTATTGACGCGATTACGAAATAGCAAATCCGGGCAAAGCAGATTAATGATAAATCCAATCCCCATATTCAGCCGCACGTTTCTCGCTTCCTGTCCTTTATTCCATCATTAAAAGATAATGTTCACTTCACAGTTATTCGAATATTCGCTTTTATACAGGCTCATCGTTAAAAAAAAAATAATGTTAGAGGAACACTGTAGCACTTGAAAACGCTCGCATATTGCAATCGCTAAAATATTACAATGAAATGCCTTCGATTCCCTCCAATTTTGAACTATGCCAAAATTTCCTACGAGACGACTTCCAAATCGATCGCTCTATTCAATTTAGATTAATATTATATGTAACTAAGGGAATTTTATCCTTCTCACATCTTTTTAATTATGCCATACTACTAGTTCTCTTATATATTGCGAGGCAGTATATAATTTGAGACACACAATTACCCGTAGTATAAAAAAATGTAAATTTATGTACAAGACACAATGTAAATTATCTAAATGAAATTTAATTTGTTCGAACGTTTCGGAAATGTAATCATCACGTGGACCCGTATAACTCTAAGCGAATTATGCACTACAAATTAGATATAAACGAGGCGAAGATTGTATATAATTTCAACTATTAACTGTATGTTACAAACAATTTCGAGATCCTGCAGAATCTTTTTATATAAAATAAAAGTAGTATTTTTAGATGTTTCTAATAAGAAATATTCGTATACTATCGCAATGTTAAGAATCAGTTTGCTTGGACAGGCTGCAACTTAAGCGTGAATAGAGATAAGAACCTGTTACAATTTAAATCCTTGCTCACAAATGGCTTCAACTCGAAACATAAACGAAGTGAATCGCGATAAGAGATTCGCATGGGACAATTTTCTCCGTTTTATTGCAACGATTCGGATGTTTCTTCTCAAGATATTTAACTATTTATAAGCCTACTTGACCATAAGATGGATACTTCTACAACTAATAATATGCAAAGAAATCATTATATATATACTTCATTCCTTGTCATCGCACAATTTACGCATGAGAAACGCATCATATAGTTAGCCTATTAGAATATTTTCCCAATCATCTGTGATAGTATAGAAAACGATAACATGCAGATCTTAACGTGAAAAATTATGACTTAATTATTAATTTCTTGTATTAGATCTAATTTTAAGATTCAACGAAAAATTTAGTTAATATTTTCTCGCATATTGCGTTAGAAAATAATTTAATGTTAAATTTTCAATTAAAGTTATTGTTAATGACAGTTATTTATATACATATATTATATATATACCTATATATATTTTTATTTTTTCTGCTTATCTAAGTCTTTAAGAAATCACACGTATGATCTTTAAATTTACAATTTATTTATTATCAACTTTTCAGAAATATCTTATAAAATCTCCTATTGCTTGCACTCAAGAATCTATTTTATTTAATAATATTTGTCAATTGTCAATAAGAAAATTATTGATAGAGAAAAAAAATGTAAAGAAGCTATTGACAAAACCAGCTTTTAGCATGTATTACGAAATTTACGGAAGTTCTTTTTTACACAACGTTATGCAAGTTTTCTGTCGATATTTTATTCAATTTACGGTCATAATTGTCATAAATTAGAGAAAATACATCTTCTCAATAATTGTTATACTACATTTCAGAGAATACATTGTACACTTGAGTATATGAAAAATGCAGTGTATTGACTTCGTTTCGATTATCACATCGTACGATTGGATCAGGAAGTCCGAAAGTAGTTTCAGATGCCTCTGAAATATAGAAAGTATTCGCAAAGGTGCTGGAAAGAGGGCAACGGCACGTTTATAAATGCAAAGCTCTAGCTTAAATAAGGGAATAGTATTAAAGATATCGAATAAATTAGTGGATAAAAATCTTATTTGTTCACACACGCAACTGTTAACGTTACAGCATTGCGTTCCGCACTTTTCATCCCGCATGAAAATTAGGTTCACTTTGTTAAACATTTACCTGCGAATGTATATGAAAACTGCTCGACAATATGTATACATTTAATTCAGTTCATAAAGTTATTTAAGCTTCTCGAACTTCTGGAATCGATACTTTTCGATATTTACTGGAACATACGTTGCAATATATACATACATATATATATATATATATATATATATATATATATATATATAAAATACAAATGAGTAGTCTTTTCTACTGTGTACGGATCAAGGCGTGGAGAGCGATTGGAACTTGCGGCGGATGAATATGCACAGCCACGATACGAGGTGTGCGTCGTATGGCGCATCGGTGAAACGCAAATCCTGTGTAACGTCTCGCGTGTTTTGGGAAAAGAGGGGAAATATATCTCAAGGATTAAGGGCGCGTGTGAAATTGTTACGTAATATTTTGAGAAAATTATTGTATATACGTGACAATTCGAGTCATGTCAGATATAAGACTGTATATTTGAAATGCATAAAACGATAAGTCGTTATGGATAAAGAAACTGAATAAATATATTGAGAAAGTGAGTGACGACGTGTCTGTTGATTATCATTCAATAAAAGTCTCTGGGCTCCGATTAAAGTGTAGCTGACTTTTATAAAACGCAAAAGGAAAAGCATACGTATTTAACCAATTAATGTTTATTCATTGATAAATAAATATATATATTTATCTAAAAATATTTTAATACCTTGATGCCTCCGTTGTATTTTAACGTTCACAATTACTCCTGTTAGCTTGCTGCTTTCCATGTTCGTCACAAAAAAAAACAGAAAAAAAAACAATATCTCCGCTGACAAACATCTTTATTTTGCGGATAATTTTAAAACAATAAATATTTATATTTTCATGTTATATTAATTTTACGCGCTCTTATTTCAGCCTGCAACATCGTCGTTAGCTACGTTAGAAATCGTTGTTTATAGAACCCGAAGTAATCGCGCGCCATAATGTTATATCTCACGCGTTAATGATATATCCCACTGTTACGGGGGGAAAAAATAAATACTTTTCGCATTCCCATGCAAGGGGGATGACGGCCCGATTACCGTTCGCAAAACTGCTCGTTCTCTCCGCGACGGTTGCATACTCGTGCTCGAGTGGACATTTCATTTCGCTAACATGATTACACGCACTCGTGCGTCGAGGATTGCGGATTCGTTTTAATTGGGATTACATTTCAATTAAAACCTCGTCCCCATTAGAGAGAGAGAAAGCCGCGTCGAATTTCAGAGGGGAGGGAGAGAAGAGTTGGCCGGAAAAGGGGGAAAGAGGAGAGAGGGGTGAGGAGAGAGAGAGAGGGGGGGAGAGGCGAATAATTGATACGGGCAACGCGCGTTATCTGAACGCGAGAGCCGCCGCGGATAAAATATGCATGTTTGCCAATCAGGAGGTGTCCGGGGTTACATGTCCGCCGGCTCCCTCGGCAAACAGCGCGATTACGAAGGCTCCGGCGGGCTAAACGGGCAAGCAAACAACGAAACCTTTGACCCAGACCCGTCCAAATAATCGCCGAATTGGAAAGTACTCCGGTCCGCGATCGCCCGTCGGGCGATTGAACCGGGACGATGCTCGCCGGTGCGGAACACGGGGCTTCCACTATAGCGGGTATACGGCGGACCAGAGTAGTTGCCGCATAAATTAGTACGTGAATTATGCAACACGGTCGTTTTATTAAAGGTTGATAAGCGTACTTTGTCGCCGCTGCCCCGACCGCGGAACGCCCCCCCCCCCCGGGGGTGTGCGCTCCGGTGGGACGTTTTACATTTTATTAGTACGAGGGAAGTTCGACGTTATGCACTATCATGTTTTACACGCGCTACTCATGCAAACCCCTCGATATTTTCCCCGGCTCTTTCCCTGTATTTCATTCCCAATTTCGCTGATTTTCCCCAGTTTTTTCCCCGGCAATTTTTCCGACATTTTCAGCGAGCCTGTTATTGCCAGCGCAACACGTTAGCCAATTTGTCCATTCGCCGATATTATCTAACTGCGCGATTTATCCACTTGACAAACTGACAATTCGGCAATTTGGCCATAGTCAGATCCATGACGAGATTGACGAGATCCTATCGGAACTTTTATCGGACCGTTTTTAACATGCCGCGTGCGCTTTACGTACTACAATAATAATTCACAATATCTGAATTAAAATGTCTGATAATGTTTTTTTTTTTTTTTTAGTATTCATATTACATGGAAGCAATTACACAATAAATATCGATTTCCCATCAAAATGTCATAGAAGTTCATATTTTTCCAACAATGGGTATAATTTCACGTGTATTTATTAAATGGACCTCAATCATTTAAAAGAATTAAATTTCATGTGTCCAAAAATCATTTTTGCTGCAGCGAACGCGGCTCGTATGTCGGGGAAACCGCAATAAAAATCCGTTGATTCGCAAAGAATTAATACACCGTAGATTTCCCGCGGGCCGCGGCGCGGCGGCTTTTGTCGGCTCTTGGGGATTCGCAATATCGCAGCCTTCGCACATAGCTCGGCATCGTCATATTTCGCCGAGCCGCGCCGCCTCGCACAATGACCGGCCATTCCCCGAGATTAATGCGCAACGTATCATTAGATTTCGAGAGGCTTCCGTCGAGTCGGGGCGAGGCCAAACCGCGTCGAATAGTAGGTAACTCTCGCAAGATGCATCCGCCGAGTGATGCATCTATTCGTAACTCGAGCGCGCATATAGATACGTACATACGTACGGTAATATGTACCTAACCCGTTATGGAAATGAGCTCGGGACGCGCGCCGCGCGTCCCGCCGA